CCCCCCCCTCCCCTCCCCTGTCGAACGTTTGATTCACCTAGCTCCGTCCTGGTGACCTGCAGCTGCCCCGCCAGCACCTCGACGTCCGCCTTGCGAAGGGACGGGGGCAAGGGGGCTTGGTGGGGGCTCCAGCCTCCCCACGACAACGTGTCCTTACCGAAGAAGGAAGCCGAGGCATCTCTGTCGTTGTAGCTCTTCTCTTCCACCGCCTCGGCAAGGTGGTAGTCGACGACCTTCTTCAGGAGGCTTTGGACCTGTATTTTTCGAGCCGTCGCATCGCGCATCGATCGAGCGTGCCTAGTTATTTTGCCTCAGTTTGTCTGCTGTGTTTGTTTGGCGCAAGCGTGTGTTGCTGGCGTCTGTTGATACAGCTGTTGTTGTCGTTGACGGAGAAAAAAATATCAACGCAGGTGGGGGCACCGAGATATCAGCCGTGTTAGAACGGCGGCGTGCTAACCTCACATTGCACAACACGGGCACCAACACAAACACAAACACACGAAACGACCGACACCCCCGACACCCTTCACGGGGGCACGGCTACTCGTAGGTCTATATATACAATATACGTTTTCGTTTTCGTCCCGCATAGACTCGGGCAGTCGGGTTGGACAGCTGCCAAGGTACAACGCGGTCGTGTATTTCTACCCTTCCAATGAAACCACCGTCTTAGGATTGGTCAGTCGGAAAGCACGGCCGATGCTAAAGCTACACACACACAATAGTTTCCTCCGCGCGCCCCCTCCCCCCCCCCCCCCCCCCCCCCCCCCCCCCCCCCCCCCCCCCCNCGCTATCGGAGACGCCCACTACTGCTATTGTCTGCGGTTGTCCGTCTCGCAACGAGACCGATGTGTTCTTAATTGGTAGGCCAACCGATTCCAGCGTCATCGGTGTCAAGCCACAAAAAAACAAGCACGCACACGCGGACGCGCTCCAGGAAAGGACAAGTCGCGCGACGAACAACACGATCGAACGCAAGGACAAGCTCTCTCTCTCTCTCTCTCGCTCTCTCTCTCTCTCTCTCTCTCTCTCTCTCTCTCTCTCTCTCTCGCTCTCGCTCTCTCTCTCTCTCGCGCGCGCCCAACAACCCACCTCGGGCAAGGTCGCGGGGGCCACCTTGACCATGTCCACGAGGCTCTGGATGTGGCACCCCTGGTCGTGGTTCTCGACCAAGAAGGGGTGCTTGAGCAGCTCCGGCGCCGTGGGTCTCTCCGCAGGGTCTCGCCTGAGCATGAGGTCGACGAAGTCGCACAGCTCCGGCGAGAAGGCCTGGGGGGACAGGGCCGGGATGGGGTCCTCCGTGATCGCCTGGATGAGGTCGAACATGCGGTCGGTGCTGGCGGCGCCCGTCGACAGAGGGAAGTGGCCGAGGGCTAGAGCCGCGATCACCTTGATTTGTTGTTGTTGTTGTTGTTGTTGCATGCGCGTCCGAGCGGTGGGCACAAAGAGAGGGACGGGGGGAGGGAGGGGCGTTCTTGCTCTCTGTTCCGCGATAAGAGAAAAGCGGTAGGTAGCATCACCCAATCTAACAAGGGCCCATCAACGCGAAGTTGCGAAAACACGGCACACGGAGGGGGGAGAGATGGAAAAACAAATGAGGCCAGACGACGGCAACCACCCTACCCGTCGCCAGAGAGAGACCGAACCAAACACGCGACCCTAGGGTACAACTTCTCTCACCATACCGAGGCTCCAAATGTCGCTCGGGCAGCCGTGCCCGCTGTCCTTGATCCGCTCCGGGCTCATGTACGTCGCGGTCCCGGTGAAGGTCTGCCCGAACGACCCCGTCTGGTTGAGCTCGCGCACGACGCCGAAGTCCGAGATCTTCACCCGCCCCTGGCTGTCCAGCAGGATGTTGGACGGCTTGATGTCGCGGTGGATCTTGCGCTGGGCGTGCATCTCCGCCAACCCTCGCAGCACCGAGCGCGCCACCCCGGCGAGGGCGGGCTCCGACAGCGCCTGCCCCCCGGACACGAACTGCTGGAGCGTGCCCCCGTTCATGTACTCCATCACCATGCACACCCGCCCCCTCTCCCGGTCCATGTAGGCATCGTGGAACGTGATAACCGGGAGGGTGAGATCCTTGCTCTTGGACGGGTTGTTGTTGCTGCTGCCGTCGTGACCCCCCGCTCGCCGGCGGCGGCGACGCGGCGGCTGCTGCTGCACCTGCGGCGGCAGCGGCCGCTGGTGCTGCTGCGACGGGAAGGGGGGGGTGCCGTCACGCGAGGACAGGGTGCCCCCCTGGGACGAAACGGAGGCGGTCGTGCGGGTCCGATCCTGCTCCTCGGAGCCACTCGAATGGTCGCCTTCGCCGAAGCACTCCGCCCGCGGCGGCGGCGGTCCTCCTTCCTTCGCTGCCGGGCCGCAGCAGCTGATAGGGCTGTCCGCGTCTTGCGAGCTGCTGCCGCAGCTGCTGCCGGTGCCGCTGTCATCCCCCCCACCACCGCACCAATCGCCCAATCCGGGATGATGCCCGAGACCGCTGGTGCCCGCCGAAGTGGAGTCGCCGGTCGCCACACACGGCGAGGGTAAAGGGACCTGGGAAATCGACAAAAAAACGAGCGGGTGCGTTGATGGGTTAGGAATTCCTGACGCTTTTCACACACACATGAGAAGCTGCCCAGTCTTTACCACTCAATCCCCGATATAGAAAGAAGTTGTTATGCTGCTCTCTCTCCCTCCTCTCGCTCTCAATGACGTGTTGGTACTCCGCGTTCCTCGCCACTATTTTTGGTGTTTCTCGCCACTGTTGTTGTGTTCAAGCCCTACCGGCTTCATCGAGAGCAGCGTCTTGAGCTCCCGTAGAATCTGGTGCCGCTTCTCGTCGTCGTGCACCTCCACCATCTTCACCGCCACCAGACGCATCGATGGCACGTGAATGGCCTTGTGCACCGTACCGCCCCCGCCCCTCCCGATCTCGTCCAGAAGGATGGTCTTCTCGCGGGGCCGTCGGGGGGTGCCCGTCAGCGGCGGCGGCGGCGGCAGGGGAGCGTTGGCGCCGCTGCAGCTCGCTCCGAAGCCGCTGTCGTAGCTGCGCGGGGTGCGGGCGATGGACCCCGACGCCGTGTGTATCGAGGCCGGCCGTAAGCAGCGCAGCCTCTCTTCGTTGCACCCCCTGGAAATCGAGTTCCTGCTGCTGGTGTCGAAACCTGTGAGTGCGAACGGAATGTTCCGTTCCGTTGTGGTAACGGGAGGTTGCCATGTCAAGAACGAGATCAAGGTACGAGCGGCAGGGAAGGAGGGATCAGCGACCGGGGGCCCGAGGGGCCGAGGACGGGCCGCGACCGTGTAATGAGTGCGGTTATCAGGAAACCAAACGAAAGTCGACCACACAAGCAGCACATGCAACAACTAGCTGGAATTGGGAGGAGCGCTTTTTGGATGGTAGATAGTCTTCATCAGTTGCTGCAACCTTGAAAATCGAGATCCTGTCGAGAACGACCAAATGAACGCCGCGGGCAAAATAACCCTCCCCGCACCATTTCATAGAAGAACACCCTTTGCTCCCCCCATGCCTGGCCTCAGTTTGATGCCGGCGGAAGAATTTCTGTGTAAGCCAGCCGCACACGAGACAGAAACACCAAGCACTTACCGGCATAGGTCGGCGTCGGGGTAGACTTGATTCCATCTGGTTGGAGCACAAAGCCGTGCGTCCTCAGCGTGCCGCCGTCTTCGCTCAGGTCGTACGACGGCGCCACGCTACACGTGAAGCCTTGCTCCTTTAGATTGTCGAGGTCTAGAGACAGCTGGCTGAGGTAGTCAAAGCTAACGTCGTCTCCGCCGCCATCGGCATCGGCATCACCGTCATCATCGTCGTCGTCGTCATCGTGACCGTCGTTGTTGGCAGCGCCACCGCCGCCGCCGCTGCCGCCGCCGCCGCTCTTCAAAACCTCCTCGGAAATAACGCACGACACGCCCCATCCCTCCCGATTCCGGCCGTGCACTTGGCCGAGGCATCCCAGGGGTCCTCCCTTACGGTGCTCGACAGAAGTGGTAGTCACGCTGTCCTCATCCAGCGTCATCAACGGCCTACCGCCGCCGCCGCCGCCGCTGGTACCCCAAGAATTGCAGCTTGCGTCGACAGTCTCCTCCGGCACGTCCACGACGCCGTCCAACTCTTTTACGGTCGTCCGCCCCTCCGGCGCGGCTTCTGTTATCGCGACCTTGGCCGGCAGCACCAGCGGCGTCGAGGGCAGGGCGAAGCGGGGCCCGTTGTTTGCTGCTCCGTCATCTTTGTCGCTGCCGCCGCCACAGCCACCACTGTCGCCAGGGATCCTCGTGAGGAGCGGGCTGTCGGGCTTGCTGCTGCTGCCGTTGCTGTTGCTCATGGCTAGCCCGCTGCTGCGGATGCGCCTGATGGTCTTGACGTGCCCCCCGCGACCGAGAACGTCGCCAACGGCGCCTAGATCGATGCCGCCGCCGCCCTCAACCGGCGATATCACCTCCATCTTTCCCGGGGGTTCAGATCTGGCGGGTCCGGCGATACCCATGACGTTCGCACCGGTGGCGGTGGCAACGATCGACAACGAGTGCGAGTCCTTCTCCTCATCGGCGGTGGCGGCGTAACCTCTCGACCTCCTGCAAAGCAGCGGGGCGGAAGTGCGGGAGCCGCTGCGGTCGGGAGGGGAGCGACTGGACGCGGCTGCCGCTGCTCCCGGGGCGACGGCTTCGCTGCAGAACGCTCTCCGCAAGGGCTTTGGGTTGTTCTTGCTTATTTCCGCGGTGACGCCGCCGCCGCCGCCGCCGCCGCCGCGTTGGTTGTGAGGGGGGCTCGTCAACACGGCCATGTACTGAGGAGCCTGCTGCTGCTGCTGCTGCTGCTGCTGCTGCTGCTGCTGCTGTTGCTGCTGGAGTTGCTGTTGGGAGTGGCGGTGCTTGTACCCCGGGAGCTCGCGTCGCCCCCGGCCCGTCGCCCGTACTCGAGTGTCAGCGCAAGGCAGCCTCCTGCGCATAGCAGGGAGGCTGTCGAGCTGCTGGTGCTGGTGACGGAGGTCGCGTTCCCGGTACCCTAACGGCAAGCCATCGGCCGCCGCATTGGCGTCGCCGACCGCGGTGCTTGCGGTAGGGGAGCTGCTCTCCCAAACGGGCAGCAGGGGCGCCGTGTCCTCCGTCGAAGGTTGCGTGAAGCTACCCATGAGGCTGAAGTCCTCGGTGATGAGACCCGAGTCCGGGCTGGGCGAGCTGCTCGAAGAACCCGCTTCCAAACCCGCTCTACCGCCGCCGCCGCCGCCGCTGCTGCTACTGCTACCCCCGCCGCCGGTCCCTCCGATGCCGCGGCATAGCAGCCTGGCGCGGGCCGACGACTTGTTTTGCAGCGTTTCTACGACCGGCATCGACTGGTGCTCTCCCTTCGCGGAGAAGAAAGTGGCAGCCCTGCCATCGCGGCTGCTGTAGCCACTACTGCCGCCGCCGCCGCCGCCGCCGCCGCTGCTGTCACCGCCGCCTCGGTGCCAACCGCGCAGCCGACGTGATGTCGACGCCTTGTCTCCGTCGCTGTGCGCCGCCCCGTCCAACCGGGACGCTGCCTCCGCCGCCGCCGCTGCCCTCCAGCCGTAGCTCGGCATGGCGATGGCCGCGGCGTGCTTGGGGGCGTGTATTGACGCGGAGTGTTCCCCTCGATCTTTCCCGGTGTTGGTACGCTCAGCTGATGCCACCGCCGTCTGCGGGATTAACCAGTTGATGTCGTGTGCGTCGTGATGGGGGGGGGGGGGGGGGGGGGG